GCAATTAGATTATTTTCCATAATCGTTCAGCCCTAATTCAAACATCTTCAGGAAAGGGGCTTCAGTTGTCACGCTGTTAATATCAAGCCGCTCCTGAAACAGATGATATCAGAAGTATCTCACTCACAAAGTCAGCTGTTGCTCAGTGATCTAAAGTCATTTTTTAAGATAAAAGTGTATTTTGTGTTCGATTTGGAAATCAAGGTAATGGAATCTGGAAGAAAAGTAGAGCTATCAGGAGATTTTAGACTTCATGTGTCCATCTGCTGACAAATTTTATTAAGATGGTGATTTCCTTTTTCAGCAGGACTTGAACAGAACTACCATAACTACCCAAAGGTTTACTGACTATATTATTACTATATTATTACAACTTCCATTAGGGATTTCTGGGACTCTTCACCATGTAGTTTTAGAACTGAAGAAGCTTCTTGGATAAGAAGTGAAACATCTTAAAGAAGTCCAGTTGCTTTCTTTCAAAGCTCCTTAGACTGCCATGACTTGGATGACTGAGAACCTATGCAGACATATATGGTGGAGGGGGGGGGATTTCATCAGTGATCTAAGTTCCTTCTTATTAGATTTCGTAATGGACAGGCAGACAGATTAGGTCAGGTGTGAGTCTCCATAGACTATGATGTTTGCAGAGGACATTATGATCTGTAGTGAGAATGAGAGTCTGGAGAGGTGGAAGTATGCACTGGAGGTAAGAGGTGGGCAATAGCAAAAAAGGATACCAAGAAAAGTGAAAGCAAAGATTTACAAGATGGCAATTATTAGTATTTAAAAGTTTGAATGTGTAATTTTTTTTTGAATTTATATAATTCACTAAGTCAATAACACTAAATTCTATATGTCTGCTCTTTCCATCAGCCAACACATACTTCTTCATGGTGCAGGCTCAAGGCATCATGTTGAGGGACAATGTGAGGACCATCGGCCAGATGATCAGATTGTATACAAACAAGAACAGTACTCTTAATGGGACAGGTGGGTTGTATAAGTGCTCACTTTGACTTTGTATCTAGCCAAGAAATGACGTGTCAAAAATCAGTATATAGTTTAAAGAGTGTAGAGCAATTGTTTGCATAATGCTGACTGTACAGACATAGCCACTTAAAATTGCTGGGTGGTCTGTGACAGGACTTTAACAGATCCTTGCCCAGTTCTTGGCTGATCCATGGCTGGTACATAAGCAGGATTTTTCTATCCACTTCTTGGATCTACATGATGAGTTCCACAGCTTTAGAAGTAACTCAATAACCTTTTAAAACTTTCTTGATTGACAATGAGTGTGGCGGTAATCAGGCCTCAGTGTGGCTAGAGAAATTGAACTCAGCTTTCCAAAGATGTGATACACCACAGATAATTTATGTTAGAACAGGGGAAAGCAATCACGTTTTCCACCCAGAACCATTTAGTTTTTGTGTGTTTTTCCCTTAATACTAAACGCCTTCAGTTTGAAACTGAATTTTGTGTTAACTTGTGTTATTTTTGTAATATTAAATTGGAGATCATCTGGGTCTTTATGTCTTTAAGACATTCCTGCAGTTCATTATTTGGTGTTTTAAATCTGGCTTCATGGATGGATAAGTTTGGGTTTCATCTGCATAGAAGTGAAAAATGTATGCTTAGGGAATCATGTAATAATATAAATAGAATTTGTCCTGGCACTGAACCCTGTGGAAACCCATAATTAACCATAGTGTGTGTGAAGAGTACCCTCCATTTACATGAACAAATTATAGTCTGTTAGATAGATTTGATTCAAGCACTGCAGCAACGTAACTTTAATACCTACACCATGATCTAATCACTGTAATAAAATATTACGGTCAACATTATTGAACTCTGCACTGCTATGCTACTATGAGTCTGCTCTCAGAGACCATAAAACCTTTAGTAACCTTCACTGAAGCCGTTTCTGCACTGTGATGACCTCTAAAACCTAAGTGAGACTCTTCAAATAACCCATTGCTTTGCTGATGATCAGTTAGTTGTTTTACGACCATGTTTTACCATTTCAAGAGTTTTTGCAATAAAAGGAATGCTGGAGAATAGCCTATAAAGCCCTTTTTCCATTAGTACCTATTTTGTTCGACTTGGCATGGTTAGCCACAGTTTTCAGGGTTTTCCATTAGGTCACTTACTTTTTAGTACCTGCTTGGATCGCTTGGAACCCCAGGCAAGCAGGTACTAAAAAGTAAATGACCTAATGGAAAACCCTGAAAATCTGATATCGTCAGACGATTGGCTGGTCATTAGCATCACTTGATGAGTTAGAAAATTTAAACTGTCATTAAAACCCGGCAACGAGGGAAAAGGCTGCAAAAGACTACGCCATGATCCTCAATATTGACAATAAAACAACAGATCAAGCAGGTATATCAGGAGGTATATTCTTTCCTCAACCTCCACCTTTTTTGTAGCCTTCGTGTCACATATTATTTACATCGTGGGACGTTGCAATGACAAAATCCATGCACGTTAGGTAGTACTGGATTATAACGGAAAACCAGTTGATCCAAGTGAAGTTGTAGCGATCCATGGCGAGTCAATCCAAATAGGTACTAATGGAAAAGGGGCTTAATTAGCAGACATCTGGGTCAAGTGATGGCTTTTCCAGTAACAGTTTAACTACTGCCAGCTTGATGGCCTGTTGTACATAGCTGATTAATATAGATCGGTTGATTATATTTAAGATTGTAGTTGTGGGCCACTAGTGTGTCATTGTTCAGCTGGCATGGGTGGTGAGGCAAAAGCTAAAGAACTCATAATCATCACTTATAAGGTGACAAGTGATGCCAAGATATACCTGGTAGGGCAGGGCAATATGGCCAAAAATATTTATCGTGATATATATTTGAAAATTTGTGATAATGATATAACTGACGATATAATTGACGCGAGACAAAATACTTTACAACTCTACAACTTTATAGTGCAAAAAAACCCCATCAATGTATTTTCACTTAAACAAGCAGCTGCTTTTTATGTGGATTAAAGTTATATAAAAATTTAACAGTCCAAATGCAAATTCCTCGCTGACAGTTTAACCAAAAGGCATTTCCAGTGGAAATTGGCCTGCATATCCTGATCCTCATAACCATTTATAATATATCCACAAAACTTAAAAAGAGGTTATACACACACAATACGGTAATATTATGTTGAAGCACAGTACGTATCACTCCGCGAGGCTCCTGCCTACGGTAGCCGTAATGCTCCGACAGTCCATCAAGCGGTGCTTTGGTGTGTATCTGACGGACGAAAGCCAAACCAGTTCCACACCACTGAAGTTGCACCATTTTTACAATCCAGTTCTGGTTTGTCTGTTTCATTCAACGATCCGCTTTTACCCTTCTCATTCTTCGTTGCCGCCATGCTTTTTCCGCCATGTGCGTATGAAAACAAAGGCACTTCTTATGTGCGTTTTACCCATATTCTATCACGATATTTCATTTTCTTATCATTGCCTAACGTTATACTGGTATTACCGTGAACGGTATGATATGGCCCAGCCCTAATACCTGGTATATTTAAGGTTTAATTAATGGTTGGACTTTTTAGTCTTGTAGGAATGGGGTCTAAAAGACACGTTGATGGTTTGGAGGAAGTAATTACTGAAGTTAACTCAGAAAGACCAATTGGAGAAAAGGAGTCTAAATAAATATTAATGATATTGAAAGTAGCTCTAGATAATGTTACGTCTGTGAGATGAGTATTTGTTTTCTCTAATGGTTACTATTTTATTTGTAAAGAAATTCACGAAATCATTACTAGTTAACCTTAAGGAATGCTTGGTCACAAGAGCTTTTGTCAGCCTGGAGCAATCGGTAGGGATGGGTATCGAAACCCGGTTCTTGTTGAGAACCGGTTCCCACTGTTTCAATTCCTTGGAATTGTTTGCCATTTTTGCAAACGATTCTCTTATCGATTCCAGTCGCCCCGAATGACGTCACCACGTTGCGGAGCGTCATTTACCTGGCAGGAAACACGGCGCCTAAGCGGCTCAAACGCTCAAAAGTTTGGTTATACTTTACGAGAACGGATGACAACAGGGCAACTTGCAATACTTGCAAAGTAGATATTTCATTTAAGGGAGGAAACACTACGAATATGCAAAAGCATTTGCTCACAAAACACACGATGACCTTAAATGAATGTCGTGTTTTTAATTCCGCTCCGGACTCGTGAATCTCAACCCAGCAGCAGCGGTAACGTTTGCACGTCCTCTCCCGTTAATGCGGCAGGTAAATAATCAACTAACAGTGCATATTATGTTAGCGCGATCTGCCTTATTACAAAACCTGCCATTACTGTGCATTTAGGTGACCATGATGAGAGAGACAGAGAGTCTGGCTCAGATGCTGGCAGTTCTCGCTGCAGTCTACCGGTAGCGTCTCCTTTCAGGCCAGGATAGACGAATGTCACCGAGCAGTGACTAAGTTTGTGGTAAAAGGCTTGCACCCATTTGCCACAGCAGATGCCCCCGATTTTCAGTAAGTGAATGTGTTTAATTGTAGGCAGGGACATTACTGGATATTCTTGTGTAATTGCTACAGAATAATTTATGTTATACTTTGTTATTGCTACAGAAGAATATTTATTTTATTATTTTACATTTACAATTTTTTTTCCTGGGGACCCTGTGACACCCCATTGAAGAGCCGTAGGCTGTGGATCTCTTAAGATCTCACTGTTGGGTTTGTAAGGCCATGTTACTCCTAAATTTCTATCTTGTTCAAAGAGAAGATATAAAACAAAGTTCTGAGCTAATCGACCTTAGTGTTCTCCTTTTTTAAAAAGAATCGATAAAGAATCGAATCGTTAAACAGAATCGAAAATGGAATCGGAATCGTGAAAATCTTATCAATACCCATCCCTAGATCAGGGACCAAAACCAAGCTTCTGATTTGTAGATGGCCTGCTCTCCTGAGCTACAGCCACGCCTGCAACTAAAAATTATTTTGGTTCCAAAGTAATCTTGTTGATTTATTTATTTATTTTTGATTAGTCGATTAGTCCTATTCTATGCTCCAGTATATACTTTATCTCACCTTTTCAAGTCTGCCTACCTGTTAAAATAACCTTATTGTCTCTTCCCACAGCAAACTAAAGTAATCACCCATGAAACATTAATTTGAAACTGATCAGCACCTGCCATGGTACAACAGATGAAAATTAACCGGATGGCTAAATATGACATGTTAAATTTGATTTTAAATGGTCATTAATATGCACCACTAATACTTCAATTGAAAAAAAAAATCATACTTCATTAATTATCAACTGATTGTGTGAATCCTGTTAATTGTTCGAGCTTTTTGTTGAATCACATCCATTCAAGAGTGATTCAAGAGCTCATCAGCTCTCCTATCACCTGATTGTAGATTGTAGGTTGTAGCTTCATCAATCTTGTTTTTCATATTTGCTTCCATTGAATGCAGGGCAAAAGTTTTTATTTTATTTGTGGGTCCAGATAATCGTGGGTCTAGAGCAGCAGCAGGTTTGCTTGGGTTATCATCTTTGATGATGACTTTCTAACCTCAGTTTTATCTGAATTAAGAAGCAGAACATTAGAGTTCATCCTGGTCTTTATGTCTTTAAGACATTCCTGCAGTTAAACTAATTGGTGTGTGTTATCTGGCTTAATGGATGGATAAAGTTGGGTGTCATCTGCATAGCAGTGAAAATGTGTGCTATGCCTTCTGATGATACTGCCTAATGGAAGCATGTATAATGTAAACAGAATTTGTCCTAGAACTGAACCCTGTGAAACTCCATAATTAATCTTAGTGTGTTAGTAAGACTCTCCATTTAAAATGAACAAATTGGAGTCTATTAGATAGATATGACACAAACCGCTGCAGCAAAGTACCTGTAATACTTACAGCATGTTCTAATCGCTCTAATAGGATATTATGGTCAACAGTATCGAATGCTGCACTGAGGTCTAGCAGGACAAGCACAGAGATGAGTCCACTGTCAGAGGTCATAAGAAGATCATTTGTAACCTTCACTAAAGCTGTTTCTGTGATGAGCTCTGAAATCTGATTGAAACTCTTCAAATAAGCCATTCCTCTGCAGATCATATGTTAGCTGTTTGACAACTACTCTTTCAAGTATTTTTGAAATGAAAGGAAGGTTGGAGATTGGCCTATAATTAGCTAAGACTGCTGGGTCAAGAGATGGTTTAAGTAATGGTTTAACTACTGCCAGCTTGAAGGCCTGTGACACATAGACGATTAATAGAGATTGAAGCATTAATTAATGGTTGGACTTATTTGAGCAGTCTTGTAGGAATGGGGTCTAAAAGACATGTTGATTGTTTGGAGGAAGTAATTACTTCCTCCAAAGTCAGAAAGATCAACTGGAGAAAAAGAGTAAATAAATATCAATGGTACTGAAAGTAGCTGTAAGATAATGTTACATCTGTGAAATGATTATGAGTATTTTTTTTTCCTTTAATGTTTGGAAGTTTATTTGTGAAGAAGTTAATGAAGTCATTACTAGTTGATGTTAAACGGATGGTTGGCTCAACAGCGCTCTGACTTTTTGTCAGCCTGGCTACAGTGCTGAAGAGAAACTTAGGGTTGTTCTTATTTTCTTCAATCAATGATAAATAGTATAAGGTTCGAGCTTTAAAGAGGGCTTCCTTATAATGGAACAAAAGTATTTCTCCAGGCTAAATTATGATCTTCTAAAATTGTGATATGCCATTTTCTCTACAACTTCTGAGTTATCTGCTTTACTGTGTGCATTTGAGAGTTATACCAGAGTATGTGTAGAACAAGGTGACTGTGGCCTGTAGTGTAACGCTCGGTAGCAAAATCCCCAGTAAGACTAGGAAAGATGCCGAACTATTCTATTGTATTGCTCTGTTTCATTGAGTCACACAAGCAACACTAATCACATTTAGTACAGAAGAGGTAGTAAACTTGTAGTACTGGATAACAATTGTACAACAGCAACCGGTTGCGATTGCCTCAGTCATTGTTGTTCATAGTAGTGCTTTTACTTCTTCACTGGAACATTAAGTATATCAATGAGCCAGTGAAAGGGTACTACTCTGACGCATTTAGCATTTGCTTCGGGGGCCATATTACTATGTAGCTGGGATAAAGTTGTACCTTATTTTGGTTGTTTATACTACAGATTATCCTGATGGCACTAACTCCAGTGAATACCTGGCCCAACCAACTACTTACCTCCCTGAGAACTTTACCTACGCTCAGAACCTCCCTTGCCCAGAACGATTACCTTCTATGAGTGAGTACATTGATATCAGAAGATAAGTGTTAAAGTGGCTCAGTAAGATTTTGGGGGGGAAAGGGGAAAAATATATTTTGTTGTAGTTCTTTTTTTTTTTTTTTTTTTTTTTTTTAGTTTTTCATTCCAAGTATATTTGTGGAATAACCTCCCGCTTAAAAATAATCTCCTCAGAGGGCCTTATGGAAGTAAATATGACAGAGGTCCCTATGGAGGTGATAGAAATGAAGTTCTCCAAGTTTTTTGGCGTCGAGTTTGGAGGCCAGTGGAAACCAAAGGACTGTAGACCTCGCTGGAAGGTGGGTTTTACAAGTCTCGTAATTGTATATTGTAAAGACTAATGATGAAACGTACTAAAATATTTGTATTGGCTGGTATGGCTTCTGGCGGAACTGCAGCTATAGATGATTGTAGTAATCAAATAATCTATCAACTATTTCATTGATTAATCGAGTAATTCGGGAAGAAAGGCATTAATGACAAATAAGTGAATCCAGCATGTGTCACAAAAAACAAACCTTTTGATTGTGCTTATGTGGCATATTAAAATGTAATTTTCAAAAATAAATTTAGTATCTTGACTGGAAGTTGGAAGCCGGAAGTCTGCTTTTCTTTTGGCTTTGGATAATTTTTTGATTCGCCTCAGTTGTGGTGGTATATTTAGCCAAAATGATCACCAATTCTTCCATTTCCAAATTTGTCCAGATAGTTTTCTTGGCTTAAAGTGGGCTATATGCAACAGTAAGCATGTGAAGTGTCTATGATGCCTTATTTGACTCTATTGAAAGTGTTTTCCTATTAAATTAAATTAAATTTAAATTGAATTAGATTAAGGAATAAAACATTCAAACAGTCGATGAACAGCAAATCAGTGACAGTAAAATTAATTTTTGTTCAAACCATGTTCTTTACATGGCACGAGAGATTGGTATTCCTGCTTTGTATGTTACTATTAGTAAATACTCTTGTGGTTGTTCATGTCACATAACCAAAGAAATATTTTACTCTCACAGAGAATAAAAGTAAAGATGGTATCCATGTTATGCATGCTAATACCTTATTCTACTATAGATATAATCCTAATGAGTTTCCTACAAGAAAGCATTTGTTGATAACAGGCAATAAAAACTCCCTTTTAACTGAAGGAAAACTCTGAAAGATCCAAACTCAAGGTGGACAGGCATCTGCCACAAACTTGGTGGGGTGAAAGAGGAAATGAGTAGTGAGAAACTATTACTGAGAATATTTGTTGGGCTACTAACTTCAGTTAATAACTGCACATTGTTGTGCTGATTCTTACCCTGACACCTATAGGTGGCCATCCTTATTCCATTTAGAAATCGCCATGAACATCTTCCCATCCTTTTCCAACACCTTATCCCCATGCTTCAGAGACAGCGACTGCATTTTGGCTTCTACGTCATTGAGCAGGTACAGTGAGTTGTCTGTTAATTGCACTGAAGGGTATACGGTTATTATTCAACTGAATGTGATTCTTCTGAGCTCAGCATGTGCAAAAAGCATTTTCCAAGGACTAGCTCCCAGTGAAAACCAATTGTAGGGATGAACCATTACCACATGACATTCTTGATACTAGGATTGCAACTTTTGATTGTAGTAATCGAAATAGCAACAATAAATATTCAAAAGTCTTTCAAAGTGAACTTTCCTGGTTGGGTTAAACTTTGTTGGGTTAAATGTTTTCTAAACTAGTTTCCATTTTAGAAATTGCAATGTTTAACTGCATACATCTGCCAGAAAAGTAAACTCCTTGATTGTTCCATATCATTTTTTTAAAGAAAACATTTTCTTAAATCCAAAAATATGTAAATAAAGTACAGTCAAAGGTCTAAGTCAAATATAATAATAAATATATGCAATAGATTTTTTTTCTTCCTTTTCAAAATCCTGTTCTGTCTGTCTAAGGCAGAATGGGGGGGGGGGAAGTAGAGTGGCAGGGGGTAAATGGATACAGATCAAGGACAACCGGGCAATCGGCAGCCCCCAAGAGTACCTAAAACCTAAGGCCATGCATCTGGGCGATATCTGTGCGCATGCATCTGAGCAGGAGTAGGACGGGTGCCCACAGCCAAAGGGTGGGAGTCCCAGACAACCAGAGGTCACGGGCAGCTGACTACACTAGAGGCCGGCCACCCTGGTGGAAGCAGGGTCCCAGGGCTCCAGGCGCACAAGAACTGCCCGATACTCACCTTCATCTATGTGCAAGGCATATAGGGAAATATTACAGCCGACCACCCCCACAAAGTAATGGGATTGATCAGTAGGGATCAGAGAGGAACAAATTCATTCTTTTTTTTTCTTTTTCTTTTTTTTTTTTGAGGAAGCAGATGTTCTCTCCAGACTGATGTGATCTATGAGTACATATTTTTTTATATATCCAGTTCATAATGATAGTTTTCTTAGCAATGCATAAGAAATCAATCAATCACCTTTATTTATAAAGCACTTTAAAACAACCACAGCTGACACAAAGTGCTGTACATTGGAACCATAAAATAAAATTACATAAGATATAAATAAAAGCCAAATAAAAAGAAAAAAAAATTAATTAAATAACTAAGTCTCACTGAGGTTAAAAGCCAAAGAATAAAAGTGGGTTTTAAAACGTGATTTAAAAGTGGACAGTGAAGCGGTCTCTCTAACTTGCAAGGGCAAATTATTCCAGAATTTAGGAGCCATGATAGAAAAGGCTCTGTCCCCTCTGAGCTTCCTCCTGGATCTCAGTATGCCCAGGAGCAGCTGGTCAGCTGACCTAAGAGACCTACAGGGTGTGTGGGGATGAAGAAGCTCAGCGATGTAAGGTGGGGCAAGATTGTGAAAGCATTTCAAAACAAACATAAGAATTTTAAAATGAACTCTAAAAGACACAGGCAGCCAGTGCAGTGAGGCCAGGACAGAGGTTATGTGCTCTCTTTTACGAGTTCCTGTTAGGAGTCGTGCAGCAGCATTTTGAATCAGCTGCAGACATGAGAGCAACGACTGACTGACCCCCACATAAAGCACTTTACAGTAGTCCAGGTGGGAAGAAATAAAAGCATGGATCACTATTTCAAGGTGCTGCCTCGAAAGAAAAGATTTTGCTCTTGCCAGTTGCCTTAAATGATATAAACTGGACTTCACCACTGCTCTGATTTGGTTGTCCAACTTAAAACCAAGTTCAGTAACAACAAGTTTAAAAGAAACTTCCAGAGGTCCCAAATCTGCAGAGGAGGACTCACTGCAGATTTGGGTCCAGTGGCAAATAAATTTGGCAGTCATCGGCATAATGATGAAATGCGATCCCATGCCTTCTAAGGATAGAACCCAGAGGCAATAAATACAGTAGTGGCCCTGAAATTGAGCCCTGTGGGACACCACATGACAGAGGAGCAGAGGATGATTCGGAACCAAGAAGGCTGACAGAGAAAGTTCGATCTGACAAATAAGACTTAAACCAATGAGTGCAGTGCCACCAATACCTACTACATCACTTAATCGAGAAATTAGAATATTGTGGTCTACAGTGTCAAAAACAGCAGTTAGGTCAAGCAAGACAAGGACAACATGGTTACCAGAATCGCATGCCAGAAGGATGTCATTAAAAACTCTTAATAACGCAGATTCTTTGCTATGAGTAGTTTTAAAACCTGATCGAAAAACCTCAAAGATGCCATTATCATCTAGAAAATCTTTCATTTGACTAAAAACAGTCTTCTCTAAAATCTTGGAAAGTAAAGGCAGCTTGGAAATAGGCCTACTTTGCTAAAACTGAAAGTAAGGGAACATGTCACATAGATCAGTGTTTCCCAACCTTTTGGAGCCAAGGCACATATTTCACATTAGAAAAATCACATGACACACCACCAAACCAAAATGTGGCAAAAAGCATATTGATAATATTTCCCTGCGCACCAGGTATCGCTGAATTGGCTCGGTTTGTCCCCAGTATACCATTTTTGAACACACAGTGCTGTCGGCCAATGTTAATTTGGCCGACAGCACTGCACATAAAACTGTACACAACGGTAGACTGGTGCATAATAAACAAGTGAATAATGCAAAAAATAGAGATTTCTTTTATGGTAAACTGAGAGAGAGAGAGATGTGCAAGAAGTGTGATTTTTTTTTTTTTTTTTTTTTTTATTGTGGTGGAAGCAAAACAGCGAAGACAAAATTCTTGACAATGTTTTTCAAATGTAAAGCGTAGTTTTGATCTTCTAATGCTGCTGGTTCAGTGAATTCTGGTCACAGTGATGAAACCTGCAGCTTCAGAATGTGTGAGATATCTGCTTTCAGCACCGATGACGTGTCCGTGTACGTGACCCGACAGTTGTTTTTACATCTGTTTGCAGAATCTGTTTACCTGCTCTTTAATCGTTTGCTGTTTTTGCTGTTTAGTGGTTGTCAAAATAGTTTTGTGAGCTTTAATCTGAGATTCTGATGTTTCTGGTAAAAGCCCACCCCTAGTAATTGTCCTACAGACATGTCTATTATGTAAAAGTAGAAAGAGACGTATGTGTAGATACAGATCAGCTGACTCAATACAGCCATGCCGTGTTGTTTTAGTAGTGATAAACCTGCTGCTGGCAGAACTCCACGTGCAGTGTCTAAAAATCTTTATGCAGGATTTCCAGGAATGCAAAGCGTGCGTCAAAGTTGGACTGTTTTTTTTGTTTTGTTTTTTTTTTTGTTGTTTTTTTTGTCTATGGACACCAAAATGTCGTCCATGTCGCCATTTGGTGGAGAAGCTGGTTCTGGTGAGTTTTCAGGGGGGCTTCAATTCGAGCACCTTTTTGCTCCAGAGGATACACCAAACATCCTTTTTGCTTTTTTCCTCATCAGTACCAGCTATACTACTACTTCTTCTCATGAACTGCTCTTTGTGTCGTCCCTGACCAGGACCAATTTGTCATGGGAGACACC